GCTACTTGGGAGGTCAAGGCAAGAGAATTGCTTAAGCCTAAGAGTTTGAGGTGGCTGTGAGCTGTCAGAGCACTATACAAAGGGTGATGCAGTGAGACTGCCTCCAAAAAAAAAAAAAAAGAAAAGTTTAAAATAAAAAAATCTAAGAGTCTACCTTGGGGAAAACAGAAAAAGAAAAGCAAATTAAGTCTAAAATAAGAAAAAATAATGATACAAATCACAAAATTGAAAATAGGTCATCAATAAGAAAAATCAATGGAAAAAAAAGCTGGTTATTTGATCTAAATCAATAAAACTGATATGCCCCTAACCATATTAATCAAGAAAAAAAGAGAATAGACACAAATTACCAATAGCTATAGACCATATAGATATTAAAAGATTTAAGACAATATTTTAACAACTCTTTATGTCACTAAATTTGATAATTTAGACAAAAATGGACAAACTTATTGAAAGATCCACAACATCAAAGCCGATACAAACATGAATAATCCCAAACCTATTTTAAAATCTTAATTTGTGGTTAATAACCTTCCCTGAAAGAACACTCCAGTACCAGATGATTTTACTGGCAAACTCTACAGAATATTTAAGAAAGAAATAATACCAATTCTATATAAACTCCTTCAAAAAATAAAAGAGGAAGGACTACTACCAAGTTCATTTTTATGAGGACAGTGTGATACTGATACCAAAATTAGACAAAATTATACTAGAATGTAAAGCGTATACCCCAGAATGCACACTGGTCCACATACATACACCATACACCTTGTAAATACAGATGCAAAAATCCTCATAAAATATCAACAAATTAAATGCAACAGTACACAAAAAGGGTAATAATATAATTATGACCAATCCCAGGAATACAAAGTAGATTCAACATTCATAAATCAGTCACTATAATTTATCATATCAATACTTATGTTTAAGAAATAAGATCTCAATAGATGCAGAAAAAGCATTTGAAAAAAGTCAGTATGCATTCCTAATAAATAATCTCAGCAAACAAGGATGAAGTCTTCCTCAGCTGATAAAGGGCATCTACAAAAAGCCTACTGTTAACCTAATAACAGTGAAAGACTGAATGCTTTCCTTCTAAGAAAGCTGGGATATCCATTCTCACCACCCTAATTAACATGTTGCTGGAGGTCTTGGCCAGTGTAATGAGAAAGGAAAGAGGAAGGGGGGGGCGTGGAGAGAAGCAGTGAGCAGACCCCAGGGCCTGTAACTATTAGCTTTTTTTGAGACAGAGCCTCAAGCTGTCCCCCGGGTAGAGTGCCATAACATCACAACTCACAGCAACCTCCAACTCCTGGGCTCAAGCGAGTCTCCTGCCTCTGCCTCCCAAGTAGCTGGGATCACAAGTGCCCGCTGCAACACCCAGCTATTTTTTGTTGCAGCCGTCATTGTTGTTTGGCGGGCCTGGGCTGGATTCAAACCTGCCACCTTAGGTGTATGTGGCTGGCGCCTTAGCCACTTGAGTCACAGGCACCGAGCCACTATTAGCTTTTTTTGATAAATATTTGGTTTTGGACTGTTCTGCGACTCCATCGTTATCCAGCCATTGTGCTAAATGCTTGCAATTGTTAAAAAGAACCCATTTTTTATCACATATAACAATATGGTATAGAAATGGTTTGCCTCCATGTCATGACAGCAAAGAAAGGCAAGCTTTGGCTCAGTGCCTGTAGCTCAAGTGGCTAAGGCACTAGCCACATACACCAGAGCTGGCGGGTTCAAATCTAGCCCAGGCCTGCCAAAGAAAAATGACTACAAACAAAAAACAGCTGGGCATTGTGGCAGGCACCTGTAGTCCCAGCTACTTGGGAGGCTGAGGCAAAAGAATCGCTTAAGCCCAGGAGCTGGAGGTTGCTGTGAGCTGTGATGCCACAGCACTCTACCCAGGGCAACAGCTTGAGGCTCCGTCTAAAAAAAAAAAGGCAAGCTTTGAGAGATATCTCTTCTGATGCTCATTTAATTGATGTGGAACTCATCTTTCCAGCTTCCTTATCTCACCCATTGGTTTCCAATGGTCTAATACTGTTGGAATGTCACACCTTGCTAATTCACTGTAGGTTGAGATGGATTCAGCTCATCATTATCCACTTTGGTCTCAGGTCGCCCACATGGCTCATTTTCAAGATTAAAATCATCAAACAGAACTCCTCAAACCATCAATGTACTGGGCATCATTTGGGAGCCACATACCTCCCAAACACTTGTTGATATTTCGAGTTGTCTATGCTGTGTTGGTTCCACAATGGAACTCAAATGATTTCTTTTTAAACTGAGAAGGATGTTGAGGTTTCTGTTTTAATCCTTTAGGTATAAAGGTCTAAAGAAACCCTTAAAACCTATCAGATCCTGCCTTAGACCAAAAATGAGATCTGCCTTAAGATAATTAAAGATGGAGTAGAAATTTCAAAATTTAGACTGTTCGAAACACACGACAAAAGCAGGATATAGTAAAACTCTAGACTATGGCAGAGTATTTTCAGAAAACTAAATAATGCAAATACTTTCATTAATAACTTAAAAAATTACACATTCAATCCAATAATCTAGAAAAAGAACAAAATTAACACATACAAAGTATAAGAAAATAAATTAAAAGAACATACAAAATCTTTGATAAGACAAATAATTTTTGGTAAGTATAGCAAAAAAACCAAAGAGAGTAACACAAGAATTAGGACAGCCAAAGGAACACATGTCACCACAGAAAGTGCAAGCCTGACCCCATGCACACAGACATGCCACTGCCGAAACTGCCACCATAGCCGACTTCACATGACTTTGACATTTAAAAAAAAAAGCGTAAACACAAATGAAAAAAGAAAACCAAATTGAAATATTAGCAAATCAAAATCAGCTGTGCTTTAAGAGAATATTAGAACATGACCATGGAACTGCGTCTGTTAATGCAAGCTGACAGGTGTCACATTAACCAAGGGAACAAGGACATGAGTAAGCCACTGGGCGAGACATCTTTTGATAGAGTTTGATAGAACTCAACACTCATTCTTTTAAAAAAGATTTTAGTGTGACATATCATTACAGTAGGCCTAGTTCCTTACATTGACCACCTCCATATGCTGATCAGTTTGTTATAATCCCTTAGGTAGTTAATATTCTTTTTTTTTTTTTTTTGAGACGGAGCCTCAAGCTATCCCCCTGGGTAGAGTGCCATGGCATCATGCTCACAGCAACCTCCAACTCCTGGGCTCAAGCGAGTCTCCTGCCTCACCCTCCCAAGCAGCTGGGACTACAGGTGCCCACCACAATGCCTGGCCATTTTTTGGTTGCAGCCATTATTGTTGTTTGGCGGGCCCGGGCTGGGGATTCGAACCCGTCACCTTAGGTGTATGTGGCTGGCGCCTTGACCGCTTGAGCCACAGGCGCCAAGACGGTAGGTAATATTTTATTGTATTTGTAAATAAATGCTCCTATGTTTCCTAAAATTAAACTCTTTGAGAGAAAGTAATGTGTAATTGTAATGTTTTATTCCCTAAGATTATAAATCTAAGGGCAAGAACATAAATGAACAAATATACAGAATTAAAAAAAAAAAAAGATTTTAGTGTGGTGGCACCTGTAGCTTAGTTGGTAGGGTGTCAGCCACATACACCAAGACTGGCAGGTTCAAACTGGCCCGGACCTGCTAAACAACAACGACAACTGCAAAAAAAAATTTAGCTGGGCGTTGTGGTGGGAGCCTATAGTCCTAGCTACTTGGGAGGCTGAGGCAAGAGAATCGCTTAAGCCCAAGAGTTTGAGGTTGTTGTGAGCTGTGATGCCGTGGCATTCAACCCAGGGCCACAGCTTGAGATTCTGCCTCAAAAAAAAAAAAAAAAAGATTTTAGTGGGCTGAAGATTAAATGAAATATCCTTGTATGAAAAGTGCTCATCAGGGAGTATAGGGAAGATGCAGCACCAGCCGTGGGACAGCTGTGCAGGTCCTGGTCACAGGGCAGGAGGAAGAACCAAAGGGAAAGAGGTTGGACAGTAGGAGACAACAGCCTCACATGGCGGAGTCTACCCTGCCACCCGCAGGCCACATGTGGATTATTTTAGGACTGTTCTGCTTATTTCTGGTGTCAGATATCTCAGCAATTATGCACAGACCTTTTCCTTACCCAGCAGCTTTCGTTAGTGTCTGTGTATTTACTGTGTGGCCCAAGACAATGCTGCAGCAAAAAAAAAAAAAAAAAAAAGGCTGGACCCCTGCAGGAGGAATGGTGGTTGATCTAGAAAATCCAAAGCATCTACTGAAACACTGTTAGAACTAGGAAGACTAATACAGACCCAACACAATCCACCCAGACGCATTGGCTCATCCCAGTGACAGAGGGTTAGGACACACCGGGCAGGAAGGGCCATCAGGCACTGGCAATCTAATAGTGTTCACAGTAACGGGGACGATCCTCTGAGCAGGGAAGTGGGTATGGTCCCAACATCAATCCCGACAAACCCCATTAGGGCTTGACATAACTGGGCAGAGAGAGGGCGCATAGTGGTAAGGAGAATGCATTAGGGGTGCTCCGGCTGTGAGCTATAAACAGAGGTCATTCCAGGGACCCAGGACAACTGTCCATCGGGAGTTAGCTTGCTTTTCTGTCTGGAGTGGACTTTTCCAGTCAAGTGGGGAGGTCTCATCTAGATGTTAGGTGTGAGTTTGCAGTGCCCATGAGGAGTCAGCATCCCAGCAGGAGAGCAGTCCAAGTCCCAGGCTTGGGGGATCCAGAATGGGTCTCAACATGCCACTGGCAATCACAACCCTAAACCTGGCCAGTCAGGGGTCTGAGCCTAAAGTTCAAAAGGATGTCAACCCTGGTTGTCAGTGTGTAACCAACCCCCCTGACCAGACTCTCAGTACTACATGGGGATGATGCCTCATACCCACTAAAAATCCCAGGATTGGAGAAGAGGGACCAAAAGTCAGGAGCCACTGGCAGTGGCACCAGCCCTGCATCCCCCAGAAGCCAGCATACCTGCTTGTTCTCTTCCTTGTCCACCGCAGTCCACACAAAGCCAAAGGCCCCACTGCCCAGTGGGCTCAGGGCACTGTACTTGCAGGAAAATTCACCCTCGCAGGCTGCCACCCCCTCCAGCTCCACAGCCCGGGGGGCTTCTTCAAACCAGGGCTTGGCTCTGAGCAGCTGCCATGCAAAGAGAGGGCTGAGGGTCATGCCAACTATGCCATGGTGAGGACATGGCCACACATGTGGGCGTGCCCAGCAGTTGCCCCACCTGCCACAGGTGTGCTGTGCTCCACACCCCATTCCCCCATGCCCACGGGAACCCAACCTGGGCATCTCTCTGCAGCCTCAGCACATCCCCAAACCAGCACATGTGCAGAGTGCTCACACCCACCACATGCAGCACATGCAGGCTTAAAGCCCCACATGAGGCTCATACTCACAGGGGATATTTGAAGATAGTGTCAAAAAGCCACATAGACTTGTGGCTGTTCCCATGCCCAAGGAAGCAGAGAGAGAGAGAAATGCCAACTGAAACAGGTGCCCTGATGCAGGAGCTAATTGCAGGCACCCACCTCCCCTGGGCTGGGTCCAGGCAGCTCGGATATGGAGTGGGCAGAGCTGGGCAGGCTGGCCAGCAGCAGGCGGGTCCTGGTGGCTGAGTCCCGGTGGCTCTGCAGGAGGTCCTTTACCAGCCAGCAGCAGAACAGGGGTGCAGGGCCTTGGAGCTCTACCCGCTTTACCTCAAACTGCACACCTGAGGGTGAGTGGATAGCGCTTGGCTTTCTGTGTCCCGGTGGGCATGGCCTTGAGGTGAGAAAGCCCAGAGCACTGTCCAGATGACAGAGCAGCCTTGCAGCTACCTGGCAAAGACCACACCTTGGCAGCACGGCCTGTGGGACCGCTCCCCACACAGCCAGGAAGCCACACCACAAACCACTGACCAACTCAGAAACCCCCACTGGTGACCTTACCCAAAGCAGTCCCTACCTTCAGGTGACAAGAAAGTGAATTGCCTCAAAGCCATGTGCACAGGCTGGCCACACCTGCTGGCCATACTGGCCCATCCCTCTCATCCAAGTGAACCTCCCTTGCTGCAGAGAGCAGCTCCCTGAGGAAGGGGCCCAGAGCAGACACATACATCTGTAACCTTAACTTTCAGGAAGTAGGCAGTCAAGTATTCCCCTTAATGCATAATTTCTCCCAAAGCTGCTTGGGCTTTCAGGCAGGACTCACTCAGCTGCAGGCCGTCACGGTGGCAGCAGCTTCCTGAGTAGCTGCCCTCCCGGATCTCCCTCTGTAGGGTGGCAGCCCCGGGGGTCACAGGCGTGGAGGTGACCTGTACATTCAGCCTTGGCTCCTCTGCTGAACAGGGTGCATCCTTGGGGCCAGTGTCTGCCGTGTGCAGGGTGCAGGCTGGGTTTTCGCAGTCACTTACTTCAAAATGCTCCAAGGACACCAAAGAAACCTCAGATGGTTCTGCCTGATCACATCCCAGGCAGCTCTCCCGGAACCGCTGCCCTTCACCCAAATCAAAGCGGGTGCCAGTCAGCAGTAACAGCTCTCTGTCATCTGAAACACCTGAGCTCTGCCCAAGGAGACTGCTCACATCTAAATCAGAGCCCACAACTGACGGAGATGGTGTCCCTATAAGCTCAGATGTAGCATAGGAACAGCTCGATGAAGTCTGATCTGTCTGGTGGCTGAAAAAGAGCTCCTTGAGGTTCCAGGAAAACGAGTTCATGTCGGCCTCCTGGGACTCCACTGCTCGCAGGGCCCCAGGAAGGTCTGTAGCCAAGGCGTAGCAGGCTGAGGAGCTACCTGGGCGGCTGCCATGCAGGTCTCTGCCTCCCACATCACAGGAGGACATGGAGGCCGGGAAGGGGGTGTGCTCTGCTGGGACAAGCTCTATGCAGGTGATGCCTGGGGCTCCCGCAAAGCTCAGACTGGACAGCTGTTCCTTAATCAGGCAGGTCTGCAGCTCTTCTCGGTCATCTTTCATGCCCAGCCATGGCTCATCCAGAGTAGGTGTCCCAAAGGAGACACATGCTACCCCAGAGGGGCTGGGAGTCAAGTCCTGGCTCTTTGGCCGCAGGCCCCACTCACCCCCATATCTGGGGCAGTGCATCAGGAGGCCGCCCCCTGCCGGCTGACCCATGGCCCGGTGCTCAGCTGTGGCACTGGCCCAAGAGTTTATACCACTAGGACCACTAAGTCCCGCCAGTTCCAGCCAGGACTCCTGGCGTGGGTCACACACTCCTGCATCACTCTTCCAGTCCTCAGCTGGGACAGGAGTTTCCGAGGCTTCCCCAGAAGCCGGTGACTGTGTGTGCACTGGTTCAGACCCACTTTCTTCCAGAAGACCCTGCTTTGGGCTCTCTGTTGCTCCAGGCTCCTCTTTCCCCAAGGCTGTGACTCGCTGGGGCTCAGGGGGCAGCTGCACACTGTGAGCTGGCGGGCTTCCTTCTGAAACAGCATCCACCCTGGGGACAGCAACATGGATGACACACTGACACAGGCCACAGAAGAGTCAAGAGGAAAGAGCACATCCATCCCCATCCAAGATAAGCATAAAGTATTTAACACACAAATTTATAACATAAAAGGTTAAATCTTGTAACCAAGTTAAAAATTAACGCACTTACTCTCAAGTAGTCCCCAGGAAAAGATGTTTATAATGATTTCTCAGAGGACACTACCGAGTGCCCAGGAGCACACACTCAGCACTCCCCGCTGCACACTGGGGCCCCGGTGACCCAGCCCTCACCCCTGTCAGCAGGCAGCTCAGCCTCAGCCCCACTGCAAGGTGTGGGAGAAGAGACAGGTACAGCCAGCTCTGTGATCGGCCAATCCACTTCACAGCTGGTGGAAAACAGCTGTGGTAGAGATGAGGAGGATGGGGGTAGCAAGGGCTAGCCCTGTGGGCGGAGGCTACTTCATTTGTCAAAGCGGAAAAGAGTGCCCACCAGAGAATTTAGCACATGAAGCCCAGGGAGGAGGCTGCTCCTGCAATCAATGGGACAAGCCTCAGGGCTGAGGGACCAGCCCCCACATCTGTCCATGTCAGCCCAAGGTATGGCACTGGACACTGATGGACCGAACACTCCAATGCCCTGTCTCAGTGGGTCTGACATGCAAGCTCACGGCAGCAACCCAGCAAAAGTCCAACAGAGCTTCACAAGGACAAAGAGGGAGCGTCTGACACAATGATGTGTCCCACAGAGAAATGGACTATCACCGCAGTCCTAAGGAGGAGCGGGCGTCTCCTGGGGCAACTGAGGGGAAAGGCAAGGCTCACCAAGGCCAGGTACAAACGTCTGTGTCCACATGTGCCCCTATTTCCACCACCCTCTCCCTCTCACATCCAGACAGTCTCAGGGAAGTGAAGGCTGCTGCAAGGACGGCAAAGGCAGGAGAGAGTCAGCTAAGGCATCAGACACCAGGACATGGTGTCCAAGAGCAGGCTCAACCCCATGCAGGACAGCATGGCGTCTAGGACCTTGAATGTTGCCAACTGCCCGTGGCACTGTGTCTGCTCCCGTCTCCACTGCCTTCCACCCAAACCCGTGGGCTGGATTTCAGAGGGGTCAGGTAGCCCTCTGTCAAGAGACCCTGTCCGGCTGGGAAATGCTGCCCTGTTCCACAGCAAAGCCTATAAAAAGTGTGGAGGCTGAAGGGAACCAGAAGTGGCTTCCCATGAACTCAATGTGACCATCAAATTCACAGCAACATCAAATCTGAAAAAAAAAACTTTCAGTGTTAGGGCTTGTTAGATTAAACTTTGGTAAAGAGATTGTGAACCTGTAGGATCTCTGATGTTTAGCATGAAACCCAGAAAACAAGGACATTCCCAGCTGCTACAAAAGCTGGCACTGCCATGTCACTAAATCCAGCCACTCGAAGTGAGAGAGGGGCATGGACCCCGGGCAAGCCTCCAGGAGCAGCCCCCAGCCCACTCTTCACCGTGTGCTGGGGCTTACCCTGCCTGGGAGTTGCTGGGACCTGAACCCAGTCACCTAGTCCCTCGCTCCTGATCCACGGTCTAACAACTCACTTGGCCTCGTTCACTGAATATAGTAACGAGACTGAGCTCCCAGGATTATGGGCAATTAAAGAACACCACAGGAAGAAACTCCTGTTGCAGTCCCACCTGTGTCCCTCACGCTACCAGCCTTGCTCTTTCTGTCTCAGCATATTTGATTACACTGTACTTTTGTGAGTGTGCAAGTGAGCAGAGGTGATGAGCCTCCAGTAACTGACCACACCCACATCTCACAACTGTGAGGTCCAAAAATGCTCAATTTAAGTGAGAAAGTGAGAACCCTAACAGGGCACCCTCCTCATTGTATAGCCTGGGGCCAGAAGAGCTTGTACAAAGTGGTGAGGAGAGACCGACTGAGCAGAACTTGGCGAGAACCCACAGAGACTGCATAGCTCTCAAGACACACTGGCAAGGTGCCCTTGTGGCCACAGCCACATGCCACCCATCCCAGCTGATGGCTCCACCAGCAGGCAGCTATCCCTCAGCTGCCAATAGGACACTGGACACACAGAAGGGAGAGACAAGTCGCACCCGAACGGCCGCACAGTGATGGGTGCTGACAGGAAGCAGCGGCACATGTGCCTCCAGGCGGCCACAAGTCTGAGGAAAGCCCACACCTATGCGCACATACATCCCAGGACAACACACTCAGGACCTCCCTGCAGCACATAAGGAGCAGAGCACAACTCACAAGAACCCACATGCTGTCTACATGACACACAACACTCCTGTGTGCAGCGGAGACCTGGGCCTCACAGAGAGACACTGAGCCGGGTGGTGCCTGTAGCTCAAGCGGCTAAGGCGCCAACCACATACACCAGAGCTGGCGGGTTCAAATCCAGCCCGGGCCTGCCAAACAACATGACAACTACAACCAAAAAATAGCCTGGTGTTGTGGTGGGCACCTGTAGTCCCAGCTACTTGGGAGGCTGAAGCAAGAGAATCGCCTACACCCAGGAGTTGGAGGTTGCTGTGAGCTGTGACGCTACGGCACTCTACCCAGAGCGATAGCTTGAGGCTCTGTCTCAAAAAAAAAGAGAGACACTGAGCCATGCTCTGTGGACAGAGCAGGCTAGAGAAGGCCAGCTGGGAGATGGCCAGTGAACCTTCTTTCACTGTGCTTCACAAACCACATGACCATGCACTGCCTGTTCGTAATATAACTTTAAGGAGATTGGAGCACAACAATGTAGGTAAATATCACAGATATAACAATAGCTGACAGATGGAAGAACAGCACAAGAAAGGCTCAAGTGGGCAACGCTGACTACATGCTGACCCTAGGTAGGAGAGCTGGAGGGATGGCCAGGCCCACCGTGTGCAAGGAGAAAGGACCAAGGCCATGCACACAGCCAAGGTTTGGGCACTTTACTGTAGGCTGAGCATAAAAAATATTTTTAAAAAGAAAACTGGCTAAGGCTTGGCACCTGTGGCTCAGCAGCTAGGGCACCAGCCATGTACACTAGAGCTGGCGGGTTCAAATCCAGTCTCAAATCCAGTCAAATCCAGGCCTGCCAAACAACAATGACAATTGCAATAAAAAATAGCCGGGTGTTGTGGTGGGCACCTGTAGTCCCAGCTACTTGGGAGGCAGAGGCAAAAGAATCACTAAAGCCGAGGAGTTTGAGGTTGCTGTGAGCTGTGATGCCACAGCACTCTACCGAGAGTGACATAGTGACTCTGCCTCAAAAAAAAAAAAAAAAAGAAAGAAAACGGTTAAAAACATACCAAAAGGCTATGTACAATTTCCCAAATTCTCTAATGTTAATATGAACTTTCTTTACACTAAATAGAACACTTTGAAGTGTATAAGAACAGCTTCACCCAATTTTTGAAATAATATAATTATGCTTCCATCAGTTCTCTGAAATCTATCTAAATGTTCCTGAACTCATAACAGCCCATTTCTTTATCCACAAAATGGAGATAAGAGTATCAATGGTACCTTCTCACCAAAGATGGTGAGGACTTAGCCAGGTGTCCTGGGAACAGTGCTGTCCTGTGTGTGAAGATGCAGGTGTGCGGCACAACCAGCTGCCAGTGTCATCACTGGCCGGCTGAGTATACCTCCTCCAAGTGCCCCTCATCCACCCAGCACTGCTTTGACGTTAGGACAACCACAACTCCCATCAGAGGACTCACCCAGGTGGGGGCTGGGACCAGGGGCCTCCAGATCCTGGCTGTCTCTGGGTCTGGGTCCCAGTGAGGATGTCTCGGCTTCCTGCCAGCTTCAGGGTCTCATCTTGAGGCAGAACGTGGTCACTAGTAAGCATGACGCTACCCTCTGGGTCTGGCAATGGCATCAAAAGAAAGTTCTCTTCACAGGCACGCTCTGCTGACGTGAACTTCCCCATCTCCTCGTTCACAGGGGCAGGGGCTAGAAGGCTCCATCTGAAAAACTCCCTCTCAGCCCCACCTTCCCAGCATGACCCAAAGCTCTCAGTATCCAAGATGCCCTGGTCCACACCAGCACCCTCTCAGCCTCCTATCTCCCTGCTGCCCTGCAGTGAGCCAGCCCAACCCCGTTAACACACACCTCGGAGCACGTCTCCCATCTACTGATGACCCCGAGGGCTCCCATCTGACTTGGGTAAAAGTCAAAGTCCCTACCCGGCCCTCTTGGCAGAGCATCCCAGTCTCCCGGCCATACCTGGGGCATGTGTCCATGAGTGCTGTGCTCTGGGCTCTGTTGGCCTCCCCAGCCCAGTGCCGAGGCTGCACACTCAGCTTCCCCATCTGCTTTCATCCTGTGCCCAGAGCACTTCCCGAGCTCATGCCCCAGCTATTCCCCTACCACTCCACAAGGGTGGGGTGTCTGCCTTTAACAAGCCCAGCACATAGTAGGTGGCTGGTGTATGCTTCTTGGTAAACAGTCTGGATTAGGAAAAACATCAGAAAGAATCCCAGCCTCTGACCATGGAAGCCCACTTCACAACAAGGACAGCTGGGCAGGTGAAAACCACTTCCCTAATTTTTAACAATAACTTACAAAAATGCTCTTTCCACTTTCTAATGAGAGAGTGTTAGAAATGGTCTCCCCCAAATATTCTATGAAGAGTATGCATTAAACACACACACACACACACACACACACACACACACACACACCCCTACACACAGGGAAGCATCTGGAGTTCTGGTAAAAGGGGAAGGGGCACCTGGCTCCACAACGCATGACCCTCTCCTGGCATCTCCCCTCCCTCTCAGCTTTCTCCTCTGTAAGACAATGAGACCCACCACCTGAAAAGTCGGCCCCCCTGCATGGGTGAGTTTCCAATCCCATGAATATTGTTATCTTTGAGGCTGAAGAAAAGCTGTGCATAAGTGACCCTCGCCACTCTTGATGGTGCCACTCCAGGGTCTGACATGCTGTATCAGTCCAACCTTACACTATACAAAGTTACATAAATTTCTTGCCTAAAATGGCAAGATCACCCATCAGCTAACAGTGTCTGGGAAGATTTTCTGCCCCTCTTCTCTGTGCTGATTTGTGAAAACAGTACATGGCACCACCACCCCGTGGGAACACGAATGTCTGTGAGAGACAGGGGAGAAGCAGCTCCCACCACTCTGCCCCAGCCCCGCACCCAGCCCTCCGCCCCCTCCCTCCCTGCTGCTATGTGGGGCTCAGTGGCACAGGCACACTTGGGGACAGGCATCATGTCTTACCCTGGACCTCACCAGCCAGACCCCAGCCCTGCCAAGAGTCTGTGGGCATCTCCCCAGAGCCCTTCTCATTGCTGACGTCCGGGCAGCTGGCCAGGTCTGGCAGTTGTAAAGAACTGTCATAGGCAAGGTCCATGTAGTGGTAGAAACCAGGAATCAGGAAAGTGATATTCTAGAAAACAAAGTAGTGACATTTGAGAGCTGAGAGGATCTGAACTGAACCCCAAACCAGCCCTCCCAGGGAAAGATGAGGCCCCATGTCACTCTCCCCTCAAGTTCACAAAGTGCCTTAAGCCACAGCCCTGTTCCCCACCTGCAACCCCTCTGATGCTCAGCAAGTAATTCATTATTTTCCCCATGAAAAAGATAAAAATCAACACACTTTGAATCAAGTTATACTGACACCTGCTACCCTTGGCCCCACATGCCTGAGCTTCAGAGCCTGCATGGGCAGCCTGTCCTCACTTGGCTCCTGGGAGGCTCCCGGTCAGCCAGACTATGGCCATGCCTGTGGAAGGGACTGTGGGGACAGTGCTTTCTCTGAACCTGCATGTGGCCCCCAACACCTGGATGGCTGCTCGTGGCCATAGGAACCTGGAATATGTTCTACCCTCAGAGGGCACAAGAATCCCCACATCTGAAACCCCATGAAAGGACTCGAAGCCCTAGGCTCCTACAGGAAGCCCTCATATGCTAACTCCTTTTTTAATTAACTTAAATCTGACTTATTCTAACAAAATTTACCTTACTTTTAATATATTAGAGAGCAGAGAGGCCAGTCTCAGCATCTGCCCTGCAAGGGAGGGGCTAGGGATGAGCCAGAGTGCCAGGCACCGGCACACTCCAGTATCAGGAACGGGACAGGGGGCCTCCAGAGGCTGACCTACAACCTCTCCCACCCTGTGAACCTCCTTTGTCCCCTGCTGGTGAGCCCAGGCCTGTGCTGGTGATGCTGCATGGCTCCAGAGGCTGCCTGAGGAACCAGGCTCTTCCAGACAGGGGCCTGGAGGCACTGTGGACCACATGCAGGGGCTCTTGGGCCAGCCAGCCCTGTCCTGCCAGCTAACTTGTGAGGATAAGGCCCTGGGGCTGCACCCGCCCTGCTCACCCTGCTGGTCCACTGAGCTCTGCCCAGACAGCCCACCTGTGACCAACACTTGTGAGGTTAGTTGTTTTAGGCACTTAGTTTGTGGAGGTCATTACTGTTATAGTGGCAGTGACAAGTCTGCTCGGCACAGTTTTGGGTGAGGGAGCAGGGCACTGGTGTGCTATGCTCCAGGTGACAGAGGCCTCCTCATTCCTGAAGGGCTTCAGACAGGGCCCAGTCTAAGGAAGGGAGGCCATGGAAACCCTTTCTTCCTACGTTGACCACATGCCACACTCCAAGGACGTGAGGCCAGGCCTATGGGGTGAGAAATGGATCCCTTCAACTGTGACAGGAACCCTGGTCCTGCCCATCAGACCGGATTCCACTGGAAACAGGCTTCCAGGCAAAGTACTCCTCTCCCTCTGGAGTGACCCTGGAGATGCCCCAAGGCATCCCCATGTACAGTCTAGAGAAACAGCCCAGGCGCCGTCAACAGGGCCATCCCTTCCTGGGTAAAGCTAGCAAGCAGGACAGCATGTCTGGCAGGGCCGTGTCAAGCATAGGCCTGTGGAGCGCAGGTCGGCTTCCTCAGCCACAGGGAGTCAGGCAGCCCAGGGCCAGCCCCACCTTGCCCAGCAGCTCAGTCTTCCCGTAACCGAACAGTGTTAGCGCAAAGCTGTGGTTGATGCCATATATGGTCCCGTCCGGCAGGAGGGTGATGAGGCCACTGATGGTGCAGAAGACCCACACAGATGCTGAGTAGCTCCATTGGGGAACCACCTCACTGGCATCCGTCTCCTCGCTGCTGGATTTAGATTTCAGTTTTAAACTCAGAGGGAAGGTGGTGCCGTCCCTAGCTCTTCCGACAGACCGCTGAATTTTGAGGTTCTGAAAGAAGGGCATATCATTTAGCAAGGATTCATGTGGACACAGCCATGCATCTGTGCTGCTTCAGGTCCCAAGAACGTCTCCCACACACACACTACTCTTCCTTCCAGGTCTCCTCAAGCCCCAGGGAAGGCAGAGCCCAGGCCAGGGTGTGGCAGCTGGAGTGGAAAGGACTGAGTCTGGAACTGCCCTGAGTGCAGTCACACGAGGGCCATGAGTGGACCAGACCCAGGGAGAGAGAACGAGAAGACGATGGGGCTCGAGGCTTGGCCACACTTCAGGCATCTGTACCACCCTTGCTCTGCCCTGGGGTACTGGCTCCGCAGGCTGTACCCTGGCTCCATGTGTGTGGAACAAGGAAGAGCCAGCATATACCTCCCACCTCTCCCAGTCTTAGACAATGTCCTCGGTATCCACCTCTGAGGGTGGCCTAGACCTTCATCTCCTCTGTCCCCCCAGCCATCGGTGGCAGTGGCTTCGTGCTGGCACTGGTCTCTGGACAGCCTAGCCAGCCCCTACTGGCCTTCTCAGCTCTTCCAGCACTTTGGCAGCCAGGTCCTGGCATTACACTCCCTGTCCTGTAAACACTGAGAATATCTTTGGTTTTCCAATTTTATTTTGACTAATCCAGGGTTTCTAGATAGCAAACTAGGCCCAGGCCCAGGCCCAGGCCCTGGTTTCAGGGCTCATCTGTGTAAGCTGTGGTGACCGCAGGGGCCTGCATCACAGGTGCAGAGCCCACTGCCTAACCCTGAGTGTGGGGAGCACCCACCTCACAAGCATTGGCCCCCATCAAGGTCAGAACTCGAGACCCTGTGCTCCCTATGGAGACTTGCTGGAACTTGGGGTCAGGTGATTTTCCCTGGTCCTACCTTTGGGACATGTTGGCCAGGAGGAGGCAGCTGCACAGAGGGGATGAGGTCTGTGACGCGCTGCCCCACCACATCTTCCCCACTAGCGTAGCCATGGAGATGAGCAAAGAGATGGTCACAGGAAGTGATGGTCCCCTGGAGAGAAACCCAGAGCTCAAGTGCTGCTATGAGAGCTTCTCATGTTCCAGCTTTCAACACCACTGAGCCTCAATGTCTCAAATCTAAACACACAACCCTTAAGATGACTTCTACCCCTCAAGGTAAGAGACAAATGAACTTTCATAAAAACACTGTCTTCCTGCCAGAGGCCCCTCAATGGTGGCTTTCTCCATGTGCCTAAGCCCCACATCCCAGGTTGCATCAGAACGCTGCCTCCACTGCCAGCCACTGTCTGTGGGGTTCACATGTCACTCCATTTACGTGATAAGGCAATTGCAGGAGTAGTTATTACCACATCCCCATTTCACAGATGAGAAAACTAAGGCATGGGAAATTTAGCTCCTTGCCCAGACATAGGTGACTAGGCAGAAGCACAGAAGGATAGACCCTCCAGACTCCTCACTCTTTCTTCTAAAGACACAGAAAGGGAACAAGGTCACTGACATGCTGGCAGAGGAGGGGGACATGTGGCTGCAGTGTCCCTTACACAAAGCAAAGCCACACACTCACATCACTCTGGAAATCCACCGAGGCAGAGACCCTCTCCACAGGCTCCAGGACCACCACACAGCACAGGCTGCGCTCCTGCTGCAGCCTCTTCATCCACACTGACACTGGCACCTTCTCCCCACTGCGGCTGACGATGTCCACCTGCCAATAGACAGGCTTAGGCAGGGCCCTGCCTCCTGGACAGCCGTCCCAGACTCCAGGGAGTTCAAACCCTGCTCATCTCTCTCACACTTCAGAAATGTATCAAAGTACAAACTTGGCTTCTGATACCGAACATTACAATCACTGAGGGCAGGTTCTCTCTCCCCCTCAGCTTCATGGTAATGGGGGCAGTTTCTGCTCTTTCTTAAAGAAATAGACACCAATGCATGAGGAATATTTTAGTCTTTCTCTTGCTGTTAGGCTCTTCAACCAGCAAGTCTCTGATGCCACTGACCCTGTCTGAGCTTCCTCTATGCCTGGGCTCCTTTAGTAGCTTGGGCTGGACACATGGCACAAAGGAGAGGGTCAGAGCTCCCCAGGGAAAGGGTCCAGACACATGCCTCCAGCCCATTCCAACAGAATGTAAATTCTGATGCAAAAATTAGCAAACACAATAAAATTACATTGCTTTTTGGGAATCTGGTGTGGTGCCCTGCAGGTCTGCAAGATGCCAGCCAAGCTACCTCCCTGGAACAAACTGGAGGCCCTCTGAGGGCCACAGCCACCCTACCTGCTTTTGTGGTGCTATTGCTTGTAAGGGCCCTCACCTCTGCCCGGGCTGGGGGAAAGAGCACCCCTTGGTGGTGTTTTAAGCTGAAGAAGCAGACGTTGCCTGGCGCCACCCAACCCCCAGCAGTGCTCTTCCCACCACGTGCTGCTGTCACCTCTGGCCAGGCCAGGGTCCCTCCAAGCCCCACTCACCACTGTGCCAAACACCACTGCAGCATGGCCGTCGGCACCCACGTGCTCCTCACTGAGGGCCTCGAGGACAGCCGAGTCTGACTTCAGGAAGAACTGTGCGAGCTTCTGACCGACCAGGCTGTGGCTGCTGCAGCCCAGGAGCCTGCAAGCTTTGTCGTTGGCAACCAGGATCTGAGGGGATACAAAGTGGGGTTAGGACAGGGCCATCACCAGCAGCTCCTCTGACTTCTAAAGCAGCCGAGAGACAAAGATAAGAGCAACCTGAAGACCAGCATGGTGGCCCTAGGCCTAACCACCCCACAGGCCCCCCTCAGATGCCCAACCTTGGTGATGCCTGGGGCTTGACTACAGGGAAACAGGTCAGTGCAGACGGAACCCATGCGCCCTTCACCAACTGCATGGGCCATATCTGAGACTCTAAAGAAAACGTAGGAGCTTCAATCAAGCTCTCATCTCACATTTCAGTTATCTGTGTGTAAGTGCGCATCACACACAGATGCATCAGCCTAGATGTAGCACATGTGCCCTTGTCTCAGCTGGGCCAGCAGCTTAGCAAGCATGAGTATGTAATGTGCTTTAGCCTTTCCTTGAATCTCTACTTTGCAGGAAGACTTAATTCATTTTGATTGACTCATTTTAGTTGTCCAAATTTTTACCTTTTTTGTTAACATATAAAACCAAATGCTTATAGTTTACATATTAACTATCAACACTCATGTAGAAGTGTCCTAACTGTACTTAAAACACGAATTCCTCTGTCTGCGATTAGAGGTTTAAGGAGCAAACTCCAAATATCTGCAACTGCATCTCAGACCAGCACACACCTCTGTGGTCTTGGCATCCACGGTGAAGACGGCTTTGTTGGGGTTGCACACAGGAGCCGGGAGCAGAGGGGCAGACCACCCTGCAGACAGCCCCTGCAGCAGGGAACAACAGGACACGCTGGCCTGGGACCCAGCGTGCTCCAGGGCAGCAGGGCAGTACAATTTGCTGGTGCAAATATTTTGGGCAGCCAGTGATGACAGACAGTAGGAGCTCCATTTGTCTTCTAGAAAGAAAAGAAAACTGTACACCTTACATGGCTGCCAGGACTCCCCCTGCAAATGAACCACAGGGTGAGGTTCAGGTCTAATCATGCCTCTGGGGGTCCCAGCACCCCTTGGGCTGGGACCAGCAGCAGCACCGAACAATGTCCTTTCAGGACCCTGAGCAGCCCAGACGAGCACTTCTAGGTCTAATTAAATTTGAAAGGTCTCTTCCCCACCATCATGCCAAGATCCCACAGCCTTCCAGCCACTGCCCTCTTACTCCTGGAAGGCTGCACACAGTTCAGGAGTGGCTCACACCCACCCTCCCACCTGCCTTCTTTCTCTCCTGCCACATTCACTTCCCGCCGCTTCAGAAGATCTGCTCTCAGCAATACCTCCAGTGACTCCCACACTCCACCCAGGAGCCCCTGCTCAGTACTCGCCCTGCTCCTCGCACCATCAGTCCTGGACTCCTTCCATCCAAAGTACATGTCCTCCAGGCACTGACTCCAGCCTGCTTCCCATCACCCTGGGACCTGACTCTAGCCCACTACTCAGCAGCTTCCAACCCACAGACTCCAGCCTGGCAGGTCCCGGGCTCCTCTGCCAGTGAGCCCTCTCATCCTCAAGCACCACCATGTAAGATGTGACCCTTCTGTTTCTCTCCCACCCTATCTTCTCTCTTCTGGGGCCTTCACCTAGGATCCCCGACTGTCTGAGACAGGGGCCTCATATCACCCAACTCCAATGATAGAAGCTTCCCGGCAGCAGTCATCACGCATGGCTTGGCTGCAACTCAGGATGCCACACCTTCAGCTCCTGCCCCAGCTCCCCATGCAGCTGCCACAGTGACCCTCCTAAACCAACACAGCCCCTCCCTCACGGCATCTCAGGGTTTCTCTGCAGGATCCCCATTCCAGCTGCTGATGCCTCGCCAGCTCAGCTCCAGCACCCTGTTCTTTCTCTGTCAGACCACTCCTTATCCTCGAGATCAGATACCACCTCCCTTCTCCTGCAGCTCTTTGTCCTGGCTCTGGCCACTTCTATTGTCCCAAAGGACTTCTCCATTTTCCAGGTCCACCCCGACTTGAAGCATACAGCCTCCTACCAGTGAGTCCCCTCAAAGAGGGGCAAGGCTTTCTGCCCACTGTTGTCCAGTGAGGAAGCACTGCCCCCAGCACTCCACCAAGCCCAGGACACACCCCTCATCCCCACACGGTGAGGCTGGCAAACCACATGCTTCTCTGTTTCCTTGCTATGCCAACCACTCAGTAAGTCCTCACTGACTGAGCTAATGTTGCAAAACCGTACTCACTTGTAACCAGCCTGGGGCAGCATTCTCACACACTCTGCAGAGAGGAAACATTTTGCTGCAAACCAACTCCAAGTGTGCAGGTGAATTCCAGCCACTGGCTGAGAGTCACAGCAGGGAGGGTCTGGCCAATACCTCCCACCCGTGTGCCCAGCACCTACACAAATATCTGAGAATAACCAATTTTAATGACCACCCAAAGGGTTTCTACAGGGAGAAAACAGCGACTCCATATTTTCATGTCAACACAGACACCCACAGTGACCAGGAGGCCGTTACCGGAGAGCGCCATCCTGCTCTGGCAGAGCTTAGAAAGCCCATTCTTTCTGCTCAGGTGTCTGCGGGCAGCGGATAATGACTTGCTGGACTTGGAGATGGTCTGTGAAGCTGGGCGCTCCACTGGCACTGTCAAGGGGGTGCTCCCAGACGGGCCTCTCTGGTCCTCTTCAACCACTGAGCATCTGTCCTCCATGGGAAGGAGGGGACCAAGCCACCACCTCTAACAATCGTAAACTAGAAAACAAAGTGCACCTGATTACCATCTGCAGCACAAGAACAAAGACACTTTAACCAAATATTCTTCACACTCCTGAGTTTAAGCTCAGCTCCAGAAGACACACACACCCACTTGCCACCCAAGTCAGAACCTGGAATGTGAGAACAGTCAGCCCAAAGTTTGTGTTCCAATGGTACATCCACATTGGAAAGCAGTTTGCCAGTTACCCTAGGACAAAGTAATCATACTCCTAGGTATTTAATATTTACACAGAGGGTTCTACACAAATGTTGACAATAGTTTCACTTGTATTAGCTCTAAACTGGAAACAATACAAATGTTTATCCATCAACAGGAAAGCAGATAAGTAAACACACTATACCCACACAAAGGAACCTATTTAGAAATAAACAAGAATGAACTAGTGACATACTAGACACAGGCAAATCGCAGCCATCTTTACACTATGTGTCAACAGGCAGGCATGAGACGTGTGCTCTGAGACTTCCCTAACATGAACCTCTAGAAAAGACAAACCTGAGCTCCAGTGACCAGAAGCAGAGACGGGACTGTCTGGGGCCAGCTGTTGGGAGGGTTGACTAAGAAAGAGCACAGAGGAAATTTTTCCAATGATGATTGATTGCGACTGTGTTTATACCTGTCTCAAAACTCACTAAACTATGTACTAAATATGCATATATTTTATTGTATGTAGATTATACCTCAATAAAGTCAATTTTTTAGTGCCAATAAATGGACAAAACTGCTGAAGAGAAAATACTGAGTTAGAACATACATTTGAATAAATAACCCAGAAGGTAACATAGAGAGATAAGAGAAAAAATGTAACAGACAAAAGTTAAGAGTTAAAGACTCAGGTAACCTAGCAAACATTTAATTGGAGAAAGACTGGGGAGGAGGAAGGTAACTTGAAGAGAGTTACCTTTGGGCAGTACCTATAGCTCAGTTGGCAGGGCGCTAGCCACATATACTGAGGATGGCAGGTTCGAACCTGGCCTAGGCTTGCTAAGCAACAATGACAACTGCAACCAAAAAAACCCAAAATAGCCAGGCGTTGTGGTAGGCACCTGTAGTCCTAGCTACTTGGGAGGCTGAGGCAAGACAATCATTCAAGCCCAAGAACTTGAGGTTGCTGTGAGCTGTGATGCCATAGTACTCTACCCAGGGTGACACTTTGAGAATCGGTCTCAAAAAAAATAAAGAAAGAAAAGAAAAGAGTTACCTTTATCTTCAATAACAAATAAATACATTATAAAAAAAAAAAAAAAAAAAA